ATGGAAAATCTCGCGTTTTTCGCGTTTTTTGCATATTTCGCGGAACTGATAAGAGAGACGGGATAGTATTTGCAAGAATATTTTAGTACTTGACATGCTCTATAACTTCGCTCAAGACACAAATCGTTTATCTCTTATCACACTCTAGTTTTCAAACAAAAATGCACTTGGGGCACTCAGGCACCGGTTTCACGAACAACGTTATAAAATAGGTTTCACGGTTTGAAGGTTAAGATTTATCGGTATTATGATCGGATCTCAATAATCTCTCAAAATTATTAGGATGGTTATTAAGATACGGATATGGCACAGCTATAGCCTACGAGACAATTATTGTAACCATAATACTTGCTGGAATACATACGGTAGTGTATGAAATGTTTCCAAACTTTTTATTAACGCAACTGTAAACATTTTCAAGTAAAATCATCTTAGTAAATAATTTCCATTCTAAGTGGCAGATATAGTTACAAAAATGTTTATCTTCAAGTAATAAAATAGAAATGGAAAGCTCCGTTTATATGTATTACAATTTATTCAGTGTGCGAATTTTGTCACTCGCATCACTGTCAAAATATACACGTATTTTATGGAATTGGCATGGAATGTGCGAGTGTGAGGCAACATGCTCTTTACATAATCTTGATTCACGCAAGCAGCAACAATATACACATCACATATTCAGAATTAGAGTGAGTGTTTTGTGAATTTCTGTTTTTCCTACGAAATATTGTTGACTCTTTCATCAGCCAATTTCGACAAGCCATTGACAATTATCCAAAGAATAAGAATGAATCAAAGAAGTCGGTGCATCTTGATCTTTCCATCTTCAGATGGAAAGATATAGGAACAAAATGTTAATGATAATTGAAATTAAAACCGAAGAAAAAACAATCAATATTTGATGAATTGTCAGCATACATTCTATCTCATCGAAATAAGATAATGTGCAATTAACAAAATGATATACGCGAGTCGTCCCCTTCAATGCCCACCGAAATAAAAATCAATATAAATAAATACTTGGGGAATTGTGAAAAAAAGTAAACAGTTCTTGTTTAAAAAGCCCGCAAATCAGTTGAAAATGAAATTGCTTCCGGCGGTTCTAGTTGCGGCATTCGCATTTGCACAGTAAGAGAGAATGGTTCCTCTCGTGCATACGAGTATGAATAATATATTTTGAAATGAATGCTGTACGACTGAGAGAAAGCGCGCGCGCGCATGTGTGTGTGTGTGTGTGTGTGTTTGAGGCAAAGAGAAAGAAAATGAACAAATTGGGATGAATGAGAAGTGAGAAACACCGAAATTCTCATTGCTCATATATACAAAACCAATGTAAATACGTTTGTGGTTTGCACACAGGTTGTGAATGGTTGACTCCATCATCATCGGCGGCAACAGCATTGAATCCGTTCACCTTGTTCGGTAATTTCAAGGATTTCTGGGCAAATGTCAAATGTATTCATCAAGTGCTGGATGAAGTTATGAACGGTAGCAATGTGGATGATTTGTGGCATGATGTCAGAATCAAAATGAACGCCATCGCCAATGTTGAGTGGAAAAACTGCTTGGCAATCGATGACGGTGTGGAACAAGAGTAGTACGGCAAAATGAATTTATTACTATTATTGTTATTATTATTTGTTGCTTTGGAAAATGTTTTTAATCTAATAAGCGTATGCTTATCGATTTTCGTGTATTCGCCTTTTCTTTCTTTCCGATATTGCTGTCGGCCAGGTGCAAAATCATCGTTACAGAACATGGTATCCACGTAGCCACCAAATTTCTAACTCAATTGCTTGATGTACGTAAGAATTCAACTTTCTTTTCATTTCTTATTACATTCCCTTTCTTTTTCTTGGTTTCTTCCGTTCATTCTCAGCTAAAAGCCTGCCGTTTCCATTTTTATTTCAAAACATAAATCGAATTTATTTCTAGGATCACAAATTGGATATGGATTGGCAAAAACTACGCACCGACATTGCCGCCAAATGCTTCGGCGAACACACCTTTGAAGAGTCCAAGTCGCCGAAGAATGATGACAGCAGCGATGAAAACGAACTAACTTTGTTTAAATCCGATGAAATGTACAATTGGTTGCTTTCGACTATGTAACAACCACGCAACTTGCAAAGAAAATTATCAGCCTACCGAAACCAAATTACATTGCCTTCTTCAAATGGATATGTATCAAATGATTATACATTGAACAAATAGCGCACAAATCGCAGCAATCTTATGCATTATTGACATTTTGAAAACTTTGATGTACATTTCAAATCACCGCGCACCAACCGCACTTTGCCGGAGAAAATAAAAAAAGCGGAGAGATTCTGAACATTTGTAATTTGAATTTTCTTTTCTTTTTTCGATTTTTGTATCCGATTAAGTGTGTGGGTGGTTTTTTTTTCTCTCGTAAGAACACCCGCATTTCACTCTCGTTACTTTTTCTTCTTCTGACGCATCAAAACGACATCTCATCTCTTATCATAAGCAGCGATCGATTGCAAAGAATTAAGCTTTTGGGATTATACCTTTATATATTCCCTAATGTCAGGCGATTTGCTTGCACATCAACTTGGGCGCCTATATAAAATATTTGTTGAAATATTTCAACTTATAAAATTGAAAGCACAAACAAACATAACTGTTCTCTATCAAAGAATGCAGCCAGTTCATAAAAAATTGCCCGAATATCAGTTCCGTTCAATTATTATTTCGAATTTAATGATTTCATTATTTCACGTTTTTGAGAGGTGCGTACCTGGTGGCCGACCGATGAAGTGTACAAAGTACAAAGTCTTGATTTGTTTATCACCTGTTTCGGTATGAACAGAGAAAGTGTCCAGTCATCGTCATAGTTAAAAGGCCACGCTCGATTATGTTAGGCTTCATGAGATTTTTATCACCTACTCTAACCGAATTGATATGAATCTTGAAAAGATATTGGTTTGAGAATTGTTCGTTCAAATTGTTGTCAATCAAAAGTACTCAACATTTATATTATTAAGGCATCATCATTAGCCATGATTTAAATTGAAAATGAATTTCATGTTTTGACAATGTACCAATCGTGTTGATGAATTCATTCATAAAATGATGACAGTTGTTTATCACAAAGTATATTGCGAGGGGCAGATTATCCAAAAGTAAGTGCATAGGTGATTGCAAGAAAAATGTGGTAATTGCTGGTCAAAAATTACTTTCGCAACTATTTTTTTTGTTGCTATTACCAATGCAATTACTTTTCTTTCGTGCAATTACCGCTAAATTTTACAATTACTATTTTGATTGATTTGCCCCCCGATTTATTGAAAGCGTCAAATCAATAGTCGTATGTTATTTTATTCTATTATTTCGATCAAACGACATTATTATTTAGTTTAAAACACATGGACATTTAGTTTAATTAAAGAGAAAAAAATACAGCCAATATTATGACCATTTGCGAGACTTTGCAACGTCTCCATTCGCTTTACTCCAAATAAAATGACTAGCAGAATATGGCTAAAGAGGCACTTCAAACAATGACAAAAAAAAATATACGACGACGGCTTGAGCTAATCTTGTGCTATGAGATTTCAGAGAGAACTAGAAACATGATTTTATCGCGGCATTATCGCAATGGATTCATGATAACTAATCACGCATTAAATCCCATTTTGTTGACTTACATATATGATATGAACACGTGTATGGATCATACTCTGGGTCTTATGAAACTGACCTTCAACCGTGTGACTTACATTTGAACAAAAAAAAACTGAAAAACAAATCAGTGTGCCTAGTTTATTTCACTATTGTGAGATTAACGCACATTTGATGCACAAAAACGTACTCCATTTCAATTTTTCGGGTAGTGTGTAATACATAATACATCGGTCAAAAAGTCCCCGGTCTGACGTACAAATAACTGTTTCGGCACAAAATCCATACCATTTCTAAAAAGTACAATTCTTCTTAGGAATCCTCTCAAAATTTCATTACAATCTGACCATTTGTTAGCGAGTTGCATGCATTCAAGGAAAACCCTTCGGAATAAGCCTAATTGTTTAATTTTACTTTCTAAAAACAGTGATGCCTCTCACCTGAGGACTTATTATCAAGTTTGGGCACTTTAGTAGTTTGAAGGAAGACTAAATCTAGAAAATACAGTCAATGGTAAAGCAATTCGTAGCTCAAAACGTGCAATTTTGCCATCACAATAACGGATTTGTGATCTCGTTGAAACTCATCAAAAAAGCATTCATTTCTTCGCCAAATTTGAACCATTTACTCAACACTTATCAAATCCATCAGTGTAAAAATGATAGATAATATACTTTTAACACCAATTTTGAGTTTTTTTAGACATTTGGTGATAAATATGGTATGTGCAATTGTGCATAGCGAGCAACAGGGTCAGAAGCTGTCGAAGTCATCTTTTGCCACTTTTGTCGTTTCAAACGGGTTTTACCCACTGTTTTGAGCATGTTTTAGGCTCTTACATATTGAATTGAGCACAGAACACATAAATTTCCATATATGAGTGCAAAAACTTCTTCAAATTTTGCCTTTATAACTTTGTCTATATCCAATTTCTCTATGTATTAATTTTTTTTGATGGTTCAGGGATATAGATAATAAACTAGTTCTGATGTTTATTAGATGCCTCTATCCATTTTGTCTTTGAAATGCCCAAAAGTCCCAATTTTTTCGCGTTTTTGAACAATCCAAAAGTTACTTGCAACAAACGGCTGTAACTCGATGGTAACAAATAGTCAGATTGTAATGAAATTTTTTGAGGATTCCTAAAAAGGATTGTACTTTTTACAAATGGCCATATATTTTGTGCTCAAACAGTAATTTCTATGTCAGACCGGGGACTTTTTGACTGAACATAACGACGACATAACGTTTTTTGAAGCCTAGATATCACAGCAAGATAAGCAAAATCGCAAAAAAACGATAGCAGCATATTTGAAGTGTCTTACATCACAATCGTTCGAATAGAAAAAAGGTATAAATTCTCTGGAGAATGTCCGAAAAGTAAACAGTTTCAGTCTGAAACCCACACACACACCATTCAAATATGAAGTTCTTCTCAGTTGTATTATTGGCTGCTTTGTGTGCAACGGTACAAAACATTTTGTCCTTGTTTTTTTGTTCGGTGTTTCGATTCGACACGATTTTTTTACAGTGAAAATTAATTGAACCATTCATTCATTTCATGTAGGCCGTCACCGCTGCACCACAGACCACACAAAACTTTTCATTCCAAGAATACGGGTTGTCGGACATATTCGAAGGAATTGGCAAAAAGCTCAGGGAACACTGGGCCAATGTTAAATGCATAAGCGAAGTTGTTGGCAAAGCCGTGCAAGATAGCGAAGTCAAAAGTGCCTGGGATGAAACCAAGACCAAAATCGATACTCTTGCTAACGTTGAATGGAAAAAGTGCTTCGAAGTCACAGACGCCATCGAACGATCCAAGTAAGTTTTTCATTTTAATTTATGCAACTCTCGAGATTGTTGACCGATTTCGTTTAATTTTTGTTTTGATTCAATGAAATGAAATGCGGACAAAGTTTTCAATTTCCATTATTAATAAGTAAATGAATACAGGGAAACAGTCTTCAGAATACATTTACGAAAGAAGTTTTTTCTGTATTCTTTTAACATAGATGCAAAGCTGTTGTTGTTGAGAAAGGTGTAGGAGCCATCACTGAATTCTTGAAGAAATTGGCTGCTGTAAGTTAATTGATGCGAATTACACTGCGAAAATTTTCAAGAAAAACCCTAATTTGATTTTTGGAATGATTTATACCAGGAGGCCAAAAGGAGGGAATTGGTGAAGGAGATCAAAGACAAGGTTGTAGCCGAGTGTTTCAAAGAAAACGCCGTTTTCTTCGATTTGGACGATCAAGCCGAAGAGTTCCAAGCATCATTTCCAGAACAATTCGAATGCATTGTTGATGTGCTTGGTGATGTATCGAAAGCCAACGGATTAGGAGAATTGTGGTCAAAGACTGAACCACAAGTGCGTCACCGTATCGGCAATTGGAAGCAATGCCCAAATGCCGGAAACAAATTCCTTGTTCTTCTGTACGTATGAAGAACAGATTAGCCACATTTTTCGGTTCATTGGCATAGAAGCCTGCATTATTATTGATTCATTGTCGCTAATTGTTTGCAAAACAAATGACTTATATTTTTCCCTTCCGAATTGTTCACATTTCTTTAGCTGCAATGTGAAAGAAGGAGTTTCAACCTACAAATTGGTCACTGAATACCTTCAATTGGCTGCTGGTGAAAACCCACAAGCCCTCCAAGAATTCGCTCGTCAAATTCAACAACGCTGTTCCGGTCAAACATATGCCGAACTCATGGCTGAATTTGCCAGAGAAGGTGAAACCGACGGAAACCAGGGAAACGGAGTTGAAAAGGTGAAGTGCATCACCGAAGCCATTGGCGATGCTGTCAAAGAGACTGACTTCAATAAAATTTGGGAGGAATACAAAAAAGACTTGGAACAATTGCACGAACGAGTCAAGGCCTGTAAAAATTTACCAAGCAAATGGGAAGCAGCAAAGTAAGCTTCATTGCACCTTCTTTTACATTTCCTTTTCACTTTCATTTGTCCAGTTATCATGAACTCATGAACACATATTTATTCTTAAGGGCATAAAAACCAAATTAACTGTTTCGAATCCAATTTCCGCTTATGTTTCTCATAGATGCGTTACCAAAGAAGTTGAACAAAGCCGCGAAATTCTCCACAAATTCCTCGCCAACTTGAAACAAGTAAGAAAACAAAAAAGTTTTATAGATTCTCACAGTTTTTCTTCCATTGCTCTTCCACTCATATCTCCACCTATTTTCCGTGAATTACAGGCCAATCAAGAGACTTTCGAGCGAGTCAAGAAATACGTCAAACAAAGATGCTTCGCATGAACTCGGCGCACAAAAGTGTCTATAGATTCAAAGCCAAACTCATCAGAAAGTACGTAAATGAAGTGCATGCCCGCAATGGAAGTAACCCAATGGCTTTTATTGTGCAAAAGAAACAGATGAGAAATAAATCAAACTTGTTGAACTAAAATGCTTTGTTTTCTTAATATTACAAAAAAAAAAGTCTATTTTTTTCGCTGTGGTAATTAAAACAGATGAAAAGTTGAATTGATATAAGTAAGTTTTTTGCTTGCTTATTTCAATAACTTAAAAAACAGTACCATCACATAAGAACTGACTCGATAATTTATGGGTTTGATTCTTAGACGAGTTGATTGTAAATTAATAACAATTACCTATTTATGTTCTACCTATAATACCAGATACCTGAAACACTTAAATGTAATTTCACACAAAATACTTGAATGATACCACAGTTTTAATAAGAGACGAGAATTCATTCTTGGACTCGGTTTCCGGATAAATGTAATTAATTCAATTGCGGTGATACGAAAAAAAATATTTTTCATGCGAAAATGTTTTTGATAATGAAATGACTTTGTAAATCGATCCTTTTCATTTGCGATTGGTTGATGTTCAGCTGAAAATTAATCATGGGTAGCTCTTCAAGAGTTCTTCACGATTATTTCGAAAAAGACTATCTTTGAAGTACACTCAAGATTAGGGACTTCATGGCTATTCCACCAGCATCAATTCAATTCAACGTATATGTAATGTTTGAGAGACAAGAAGATCATTCGGATGCTTTGGTATTACAATCAGCCAAATCGTTTGATAAAGTAGAGTGAAACTGGATACTGGAGATTTTGCATTGACGTTTCCGGCTGTAAACATGACAACAATTCATATGCGTGTGCTGTCAAAGTCACTTTGTCATGCGTCATTCACATTAATGCTTTGACTGATTGTGGTCACCAGTGGTGAGATTTAAAACGCCATACATTTTATATACATTATTTGTTTGGGAATTATATTCATTTATTTCCTTTTATTGTTGATATTCGGGCTCTTCAAAGCCTAGGCTTCATCCACGATTTGTTTTTTAAAGAAATATTTCGAAAAAATCGTGAGTTTGCACTGTCAACACTTGTGTGATTTTTCATATGATTTTGAAGTCATCGAATATTGCCACCCGTTCACACATTCAATGAACTTGCTACACCAAGTGATAGTTTAGTTCATTACTGACGTTTTCCAATCCGCCATACGTTCTTATATGTGTGTGTACATCAAAATGTCAAAGTTGTCAAGAATGCAACCGTTCTCCTCGTTCTTTACACGATGATACGATTGGATTGATACAATAAATCGTGTAAAGATACTAAAATATCTCGTAATCGGCGGTGAAGAATGTAAGTGGGTATTATCCTGTTTCTAACATATTTGTAAAGAAATAAGAATAGAAATCCAGGTTTAATGCATACATGTGATATGCAAAATGTAAAGTCTGTGGGATTTTTTTTGAGTTAGAACGAGCACGCGTTTGTTTCAACGCTTTAGTAAAAGGAATAAGATTTGTTATTGTTGTTGCATACAGTTTTTCCGTATTTAGCATGTTATGTAGTGATCAAACTATTGTCATTGTTAGTTTGTACTACACTCAAAGCATTCACCGTTTAAATTTTGATTTTTTACTCCAAATAACGGATCAAGTGTTTGTATGAGCGTATTCCATTGTGGTGTAATATTGTATACCATAATGGAATACGCTCATACAAACACTTACTCCGTTATTAAGTGTAATCGTAGTTGGAGTAAAAACTCAAAATTTAAACTGAGTATGCTCTGAGTGTAAATAACTTCATTGTGTTTATTAGGTGAATAAGGTAAAAACAGGAAATCTGGGTTATCAAATTTTCTTCGTGTTGAAATATTTAAAAAATCAAGATAGGTTCCTATTCAATGGTATGACACCATTAAATTGGGGTTAATAATTGACGCAAATCTAAATTGGAATGCACATGCTGAAAGCATATAATGAAAAAAATAAGACCATATGTCGGTGTATTCATAAGAATTTCATTCCTTTGTGGTGATAATGTTAAAAAAAATTATTTATTATTCCTACTTTAACTCAAATGTAATTTATTTATTAACAGTATGGAGTGGAACGAAAAAAGAAAATATTGACAAGATAGAAAAGTTACAAAAAAAATGTATTAGAAATTTATTCTACAATAAATATAAAGCAGTGAACATAAGTACAGATGACTTGTATGAAGAACATTATTAAATTTAAACATATGATTGATCTCGAATTGGAAATAAATTTTCACAAAATTATGAACAAAATGTTAGAAGCAGATATTAAATTAGATTTTAACAACAAACATAATGAATATGAAACTAGACAATCAAATAGACTGCACAAAATTAAACCCATTAATAATTGGGGGAAATATTCTATAATTAACAGAGGAGCTAATGCATATAATTCTATGTCATCGCCAATGAAAAAAAAAATCCATAAAATGCAAACATTTAAAAATCAATTGAAAAAACTTATACTGGAAGATCAATCAAAAAACTTGCAATTTAAAAAATTAAGAAACAAAAGACAGAAATATATTTACAAGACAAAAAGAGTCACTACAAAATGTAAGAAAAATATTTAACTTATAATATTTATTTGAGATGTAACTATTTGGTTTTTAAGGGCGTTCATGTGTAATACATTTGCCTTAATAAATAGATAAATAAATGAATAAATAATTAAAAGTTATGACAGAGTGAGTAGGCATTATTACAAGCTACTCAAATGAAAGTCTGTATGCAATTATAAAATATGAAAAAAGACAAATTATTTACCCAAGCTATTATCAAAACCGTTTTCATTTTGATTAGAAAATGGATTTTTTTTCAAACTCTGCTGTAAGGTTGACCAAAATTTGGCAATCATCTATCAGAAATGCCCCACTCAATTGTGTAACGCATCTAATGTATTACACTTAACGTAAGTATGGTTGCCTAAACGTAGCAACCGTGCAACATTGGGCAATACCGCTCAAAGTCCACCCACGCATACACGTTAGATAAATCATTTTTGTTAGTTTTTTTTTCATTGATAATTGATATCTTTTGGTTCGTTTTACATATCGATTTAAAACATTAGATATGGTTTTATTCGAAGAGAAAGCTTCTGAGTTCAAGAAATTAAGAGGTTTGCTAGTGAATGAAAAGCTTTTGCGACAGCAAAAACGATGGGTTTTAATCAGCAACAAGCAAAAACATTGAACATTTTGTGTTCCAGTACAACATAGCAAAATTTAAAATGTTAGTACATTCCAACGTTTTTAGTACATTGAATGAGACAAAAACGGCAATAGAATAGATGAAGCGCATGATAGACACCATGCGAACAAAAACAGAAACCTTTTCAAATCCAAATAATTCAATCGTAGAATGAAATGATTTTTTTCCAATATAAAGCAAGTACGATTTAGAGGATAATTTTGGCTGAACTTTTTGTGATGGGAATGATGGAAAAAATGGAGCAAAAATAAGAAAGAGCCTAGAATACAAATTGACGATACGTACATATTGAATTCAATCAATGCAAATAATTGCTCAAGTCATTGGAATTTTTTCTTCAATACTCTTATCGAAAACTGGACAGGAAACAGAAAGTATCATCAGTCACTTATGTGACAATAAACCTAAACTGATTGAAGTGGAGTTTCATCACCATTGAAAGAAGTTTTCTATCTTCAATTTGAAAAAAAAAAAGACATTGTGAACTGATCAAATATGAGTTTTCCATAGTTACATCTAAAACCGAACGGTAACAATACATAAAAACCTAGAGAAAAATTGACCTTGTATTACATAAAAATATAAAATTGAATTTATTCTGTAAAAATGGGTTTCCCTGCAATAAAGACGAAATGGATTATTTCAGCGAAATTTGTAAGTATTATTAATAATAAATTATGTGCATTTTCTTTTCGCTCAAGTACAATGGATAACATTAGCATAGGAAAAATTTGATCTCGATGGTGTGACGCACGATTTTATGGCGAATGATCTAAACATCGGAGCGAGCTCATTTGGTAAAGTGCACACGAAGTGCGCGTGGATAATAACATCACGGTCGAAATGTCAGTGTGCATTTGTGAAATCATATGTGTAAATTAACTGTGAAATGATGTTCGATTGATTGATTCGATGACCGTCAAAAGCATTCATCGTAGATTCGGTGTCGCGCATTTCCCATCTTGTGAATTCAAGACATCGAACAAAAGCAGCAGCATCAATGTCTTGTTCAGCGCAAGACGCTGATGTGATTTTAATGCGAACGAACGTTTGAGCATAAAGAATATCTATCATCAAATAAAGAATGAGGCATTTGTATTATCCTTTCGATACGGATGACATAACAAACCTATTATATTTGTACATTATCATATTTCCTCTGTTCGCCGGAGTATCGAATTGCCATGTCGTCGTCGTTTTTGTCGACGGCGGCAGTAGCAGCAGTGATACATATAGCGATTTCGAAATGTGGAGTGAATTACAATTCAGTACATTTAAACAGCGGTGGCAGCCACGGGGTTCCATCATTCCAATATCACCATTCCAGTGGTGACGCAAGGGTGCCGCAAGCAACAGTGCTCCGACCCCTTCAATTGGTATGGTATTGAATTAATCTGCAAAGAAGCAAAGGAAGAAAACGCAAAAATACAGTCTTTTACAGAACTATTTATTGGCATATTCTTTTGAATATTGTTTCATTGTTTCGCATTTTTTTATTGTTGCTACTGCTCGCTTCAATTTTCATTTTGTATGGCATTCTTTTCATTTGACTTGATATGGGTAATATGGGTGAATACAATCTTACAAAAATTGTGCTAATAATGCGAAAAAGCATATAAATGCTATGAGAAATCAAAAGAGGATCAAAATATACCTAATAATAGGTTTCAGAACAACAACAACAACCAAAAAACCAATTGTTCCTCTATTTGTTGAACTGTGCCGCGGTGCGTAGCTGGCGTGTGTGCGCGCGTATATGGATTTAAGTATAACAATAGAGTCTGTTCAAAAAAAATTCTTCAGTTCTTCCCCTTTCATACTTGATACATAGCACTTTGGCTAGGTTTCTTATTTTCCCATGCGTTATTTCCTATAACA